CTGTTTTTGCTCAATTTGGTTAACGATGAAAATAGTTACTTACTCATTATAACATTCACTTACTGCCACCTACTGGCGATTTACTTCCATATTTAAAAGTAGCTCATCTTTGCATTTTTGTCCAACATTTCATATTTGTATAATTTAAAATATATATATATTTAAAACACCAAGCTCATAACATTATTTATGCTGTTGTAATTTTGTATTTTGACTGTTTTTGCTCAATTTGGTTAACGATGAAAATAGTTACTTACTCATTATGACATTCACTTACTGCCACCTACTGGCGATTTACTTCCATATTTAAAAGTAGCTCATCTTTGCATTTTTGTCCAACATTTCATATTTGTATAATTTAAAATATATATATATTTAAAACACCAAGCTCATAACATTATTTATGCTGTTGTAATTTTGCAGTGTAAATGCATTCATGCTACATTTCAGCTTCATTAAACTGTCTTGTGTAAATGCCTCTAAATACCACTTCTGCTTCTGTTTCTTCTGCAGTGGAAAGATCGGTTTTGTTAACACTGATTTCATTTGATTGGAAACAACCCTATAGTGTCTTATTATATTAAATGAAATTCTTAAAAAAAGAAAAAGTAAGAATTTGATATCAAAGATGACGTATACATTTAATAAGGTTAGGGAAAATACTCTTTATATAGTCTAAAATTACCTGGAAATAAATTTAAGTAAATTTTAGTATGCAATAACTTTAGTCATAAAATGCAATTTCCTAACAACAAACTTTTGACTGGTGGAAAAACAAATTTTTGGAAAACCACTAGCCACAGTGGCTGGTGAGCAAAAAAGTCATGCCCTGTATACAGTGAATATTTTTGTATTTAGTTATTGCAGTTAAAATGTGGTGTTTAACCGGAGGAAGGTGGTGGGGGTGCTTGACAGGTGTCAAACACTAGAAAGGGGTGCACACTACAAAAATTTGCTAACCACTGTTCTAAATAAAGAGTGGAGCATAGGCTAAGCGTTGCAATATGAATCAACCTACGTTTCCCTAAACTGGGGCACAATGGCTGTATGTTTATTGATATCAAAGGGGACAGAGGATGGATCAAGTGGTGGAGAGACATCAGGGACATGCAGGATTCAATTGCACGGCCAAACCGTCTGCAGGCTTCACTGGCTCCAGCTCAATCTGTCGCAATATTATCTGCCGCAATATCATCCTCAATTTCAGCGCCAGCGCCTAGAGGGCGTATGCCCATGTCACGATCAGCACCCAGACACCAAAACATGTATACTTTTCTAAAGACTCAAAATAATAGTCTTAATTTCCCTCTTGAGAGCCTGCTTCAGAATAGGAATTTGGAAATTACTTGCAATAGCGATCATCCTTCATGCATTTCTCAGATCTAGATTGGATTATTGATAAATGCTTGCAACTCAAACAAGACCATGATTGTCCTGGCCAGCAATAAACTCACACACAATATAACACACTGCATTAATATTTGCACTATCCAACACAACACCTGCAATCTAAGCACAATGCCACCAAAGGTTTTTTTTTTTTTAATAATATCCCGGACAAGCCCCCATGTTATGTTACGACCTCAGGTGGGGAGGCCAAGGGGTTAGGAGATGTAACATTAACTATATTTATATACATAAGGCAAGACAACAAACTAAGATGTGGGGCAAAATAAGTCAAATATGTCGTTACAATATTTACACAAGGTGGTATGGGCAGTACAAAAAAGGTAAAGGATGTAAAAGGAATATGTACAATATTTACAATGAGTATCAACACACAAGCAAGGGAGAAGGGCGACAACTAAAATAAATAATCAAAACCAAACAGCCCAACTACATACCCTTCTATACTGACTGAAACAAATCAAAGAGAATGAAAATAAATGTCTTTGACGTCAATGAAACCCTATCTAAACGACACTCTCTAGCCAAAACTAACGCACAGAGTGCGGCACTCACCCCTTACCTGGTGTGTCTACAGACTAGTAGAACCGTAATATGATGATGGATTAAATGAAAGAGTGGATGAGCAAAATCAAAAGCTCCCACTGGTGTTCTGGCATCCTGGTTTTATGGATGCTGGCATGCAGGGATTGGTGGTACGGAGGTGATGATGTCAGCAGTTAACAGGTATGTGGCCTGAGTAAGGGTTTGACATCACAACAAACAAACATAACCAACATGCATGTTTGTAAATGTAAAGAATTTGTTACAAAAATCAGATACATTTTCTGTTAGGATCATTGAGCTAAAATAGTAGGCAAATAGAATTTTTTTTTTTTTAAGTGCTGCAAAGTAAGAGAAGAACTGTGCAACATTTGTTTTTCCCCATATTTTTACAAGCAGCATCCTTCATTTGCCCAAAACACCAGTAACACGCACAAAAATTAACACCAGCATTTGTAGCAAGGTAAGTTATACTCCAAGGCTATTCTATTCTCATCAAATTAACCGAGGAAATTCACAAGATGTGGAAGGAAAGCTCATTCGTGGAAATTCTGCCCAGGTAGGGAGGCTGAATGTAGGCAGTGTAAGAAGAAACAACATTTTGGACAGGAAAGAGACTCAAGACCATTTTGGAAAGTTATTCATCAGAGGAAATTGTGTTTATGGGAGAAATAAACAAAGTAAAATTGTAAAGTTTTATTTTTATACCATTCTGAATTGATAGACAAAAAGATGAGATGTGGATTTAAGATTTGGAGCTGAATAAACAGTTATGTGGGCAGATCAGATTCCAATCGGATACACAAATAATCAGAATCTTTGTCTATAGCCTTCAGGAACCAGTTTGTATGCCCAAGGATTGTTGATTTCAGTCTCATATTTCAAACTTTCTTCTAAAGAAAGGGTGGAGCAGACTTCCTCGGCTAAATGTTGAAATATGAATCAACCTCAGTTTCCCTAAACTGGGCCACTATGGCTATGTTTACTGATATCAAAGGTGACCAAGTGGTGGAGACACATCAGGGACTTGTGAAAGATTCGACTGCCATTTGAATGGGAGTTGAGCCCTAAGAGCAGTGATGGCCTTGACTGATATATTTGATATGTAGACTTTGTGTGTGCATCAAGTTAACCACACCTCGATCTACATTTTGAGCCAGCTCAAATAAAAGCAACTAATGGAATCTTGTGCATTTCAATCAATGCCCCACACTTGTTGTACTATTTAACCAGTTCTCATGAAACTTTTTTACTGGTAATAAACCAATGGCAGATCCCTAAGAAAGTGAAAGTAAAGTAAAAACTTCTTCACTTTCCTATCTACTTTTACAACATTTTTAGCACCCTAGATTATTCTCAAAGGCCATTCTATTCTCATTTAATGAAATTCACAAAATTTAGTTTTTTAGCCTTGCTTGCACTATATTAGGCCAGTTAACTGCAGTTAAAACAGGCAAACAGAAATACAAAATAAATAAAAAGAAACATGCAACCTCACTGCATGTTACTCTAACAACATGTAAAACCTGTTTAGTGCCACAACTAAGGAAATGCTAGATATATTGTATAAAGTTTTCACTTTAAGAAAAATACAGTGCACTTACCGTGATTTTTTTTGATGTTAGTTTTTTTGCTTCAGGGATGAGTGGACTGAGGTGTAACTTCATCTCGTTGCTCATCACTTAGTCTGCCAATAAAATAAGAACATCATCAAGGCATCATTAATAATAACACAGTACACATGTGCATAAACAAACCACCTTCTCTCTCCTTTTAACTCTCACCTGCAAACACCTCGACTTTACACAGAGTGAGTTTTTCCTGTTCCCAGGTAGAAAAATGTTGACATATCTCCCTTTAACAGGCTTAAAATCAAATGTTTTTGTGCCTCCAGATGGAATGAGCCGAACAGTTGCAGCACAAAAAGAAAAAGTCATAGTAATCAAAAAGGCAAAATTAAACATTCAAATTTGCATTCAAATGCAAATTTGTATTCAAAGGATTTTTTGAGAGTAATTATGCATTTATTTCATCTTATGCATTTTCTAAACATGCAAAAAGTTTTGAAATGTGAAAGTTTTTAACAAAGAGAAAGACAAAAGTAGAACAAAAGTATTTACTATAAAAAGTGTGGCAAAGTGTATGAAAAGAGAGAGTGACACTTACAGCTTATTGCTGTTGCCAATATTTTCCAGGTTGTTGCCGGTACGGACAATTAAACAATTTTTTAAAACAATAAATAAAATAAAAAAAACAGTTATGCACAAATTAATAAGCACTTAAATACATTTTATCACCGATTCATCTTCTCTCTCTTTCCTTTACCTGCAAATACCTGAAATTCACACAAAGTAAGGTATTTAAAAATGTTGACTTATTGCCCTCTAAAGGCCTTAAACTCAAATGTTCCCGTGACTCCAGCTGGAATGCGCTCAATGATGGCAGCCCTGTTAAAAAACACAGGGACAGAGAAATACAGACAGACACAGCAATCAAAAATGCAAATAGCATACTACATACATTTCTACTATGCTCTTGCATGAACTTGGGTGTTTCAAGAATGTGTTACAAAAATCAGATAAACTGTCTGTCTGGACCACTGCTGTTACACATGAGAAATAGTAATAGTAAAAATAGTACAGTAGTGAAATAGTAACAAAATAGAATGTTTTTTTTTGCTGAAAAGTAAGTTACAATGTTTATTGCTAAATTCACACATAAAATTTAAATTGTACTTATAAATTTAGTAGTTAGTTCTACTTTTAAGGAGGTTTGGGCTGTTTTGTGCCCCATTGGTGTGTGTTGTTGCCTATATGTTTGTTGTAGCATCATATTTGAATGCCCAAGCCTGGCCTTTAATTGAGAATATTTCATGCTTAGCACTGATTACAAATATGTTAATATAGCCACGTGCATGTTTCGGAAATTTAAAAAGGTTTATTTGTGTTATGGTTTGCCACTTTGCCCAAACACTAAACCACGCGGCGGCAGTATTCATCGAACACTCAAAAATCAATTGCGCATGTCTTACGTCGAAATTGGAAGTGGGAGGGTTTTTTTAAATCTTCTTTTAGTAATAATCGTTCAGTGGCACGGACAGGTATTGCGGAGCTCATGTTTCATTAATACTGTCTTAAAAAAAAAAAAAATACCGTTTCTTGCATGTGTTATACAGTTCGTCGTGTTACGTTCTACCAGCTTTATCTCGGTTGACGAACGTCAAGTTGGATTCAATGCGGCGCTGCCTACGCATTTAAATGCGTTTGCTCTTGTGAATATTTTAATTAACAGTTTTTCTTAAATCAACAATTTGTGATCAGTATAAACTGTAATATGTTTATTTTCCAGTGCATTGAGGAAATTTGAGTTCATTTATGCGGGACACAAGTTAAGGTAGCACACAAATGCACGTTTTTGTTATCGTTAATCGCAGTTGACTTCAGTAATGCTTCCGTGCAGCGGCGTTTCGAGGATCAAATTGAAGAGGGATTCGTTTAAGCTCGGTAACAAATTAGAGCCGACCAAACGCAGATGGACTGGACCTAAAACTGTGTCTGGTTTAAATCCACTTGCCGATCGTGGCATACAGGTACAAGACCAAGCCAGTTCTCCAGCTCCGGAGGCAGCAGATGTCGTTTCCCCAGAACGAAACGCCAACGAAAACTGCGCCACAGCCGACCGCGAACCACCGTCCCAATTTGACGGGCAAGCGAGCTCCAAACAAGACGCTCATGCGGAACATGACGGCTGCAGAGGGGGTTATAATCAAGGTACTTTCCCATCCACAGTCAGTGGCTTTAGTAACTGTCAACGGGGAGGAACTAAAGCTCAGAGTACCTGTACAAGGAGTCAGCCACCGTCCAAAAAGACGCCGAAACGGTTGTCCGAACATAGAAAAGAGTTTTTCTACCGTTTGCGTTTAGCTTTGTGCTTAAAACGTCGAAATGGCGGGAAGCGTGTGATTCACGGGCCGACAGAAGTGCAGTGCCACGCTCTGTCGTTTATAAACAGTAACGTGTCGGTTGAGTCAGATAATATTTCTATTAAATCCACGGTCTGTGGAGAACCAGTGGAACAAACTCCACCTGCCCAACTAGGTCCAAAGTACGATCAAAACACTGGCTGCCCAGATTATTTGGGGCAAGAAAAGCCTCGTGCTGGAAGGGGAAGACCGATGAAACTGTTTATTGATCATTTTGGTGGCCCTGATGGACGGGTGAAAACTACCATCAAGACGGACGCTCGGCGAGCCCGTGCAAGTAAACCCAGGCGCGCTATTTCTGGACAAACACCAAGTAAGGGTCAAGACGTTGCTGTACATACAAATAAGGGTTAATACTGGGGGTAATTTAGTGGAAAACATGTTTATGTGGTATTTATTTCCAGACCTCATGTTTCACAGGCAACAAAAAATCTGTTGGGGTAACTACATGCCCTTCAAGAGGTAGAAGAGATAAGCAAGAGTTTAAGGGCATTTGCAAAATTGTATTGATATACTTTCCTAAAGTGATACTCCACCCAAATAAATTAAAGTTCTCTTATCGTTTACCTGACCCTTATGCCATCCCTGATGTGACTTTTTTCAGATGAACATTTAAAAATAATAACAATCCATGTCTGTGAGTCTATATAATGCAAGTGGATTGAAACCCAAAAGTTGATGCTTAAAAAAACCACACAATGTCATTGTAATGGTAATCCATCTGACCCCAATGAATGAATCAATGGGCCAGAAGTGATGGTTTATAGTTTAAGTTTAAAATTAAGCGTATTCAATCATTTTTCATATGCCTATCTTTGCAATTCAAAAGACATCGATTAATTCACTGGCATCATATAAGCAACATTGTGAACAAGGTTGGTGTTGTTTTTGAAGCATCAACTTTTGGGTCACTATCCACTTGTATTATATTGCCTCAGAGAGATGGATTTTCCTTCTAAAAATCTCCATTTGTGTTCATCTGAACAAAAAGGCATATCTAGACACAAGAGGATGAGTACATGGACGAATTAAAATTTTGGGGTGAAGAATCCCTTTAAGATAAGATCACTCTGATTAATGGAGTTTAATGGAATCATCAGGGTTTTGGGAGATAGTTATAGCTAGGCTCTTTATATTAGTATTGCATTTTTGCTCTCACCCTTCTCACCTTCTTTGTCTCTGATTGCAGATATCAGTTCAAAACTTGAGCTGAGACGACAGCTTAGGTCAGACACAAGGAAAAACCGCAAACGATTGGTGAAAAATTCATGCTGTGCTTTGTGTGGTGATGTAAAATACACTCCTCCCCCTAGTAAGAATCTGGCCCCTTTACTCAGTCACAGATCTAGAGCTGACCGCCCCAGCCAGACTGTGTGCCAGAAAGATGCTGGTCATATCTCAGAGTCCCCGACCGCAATGAATTTCCGCTTCGAGAAATACCCCATGGTGAATCTGTGCGATGTAGCCAGAGTGTTTGACATAGCCTCTCGTGATTTCTCATGTGTCTTACCAGCCGTACTAAGACAAAAGAGGAAGTGCAAAAGAGTACAGTGCTTAAGGAAAAAATTTGATTTTCTTGTGCATCCTCATCTCCACGGCATCAAGGAGTGTAGAAGTAAGATTGCCAACCAGTCCTGGGAAGTTTCCACACCAACCCATAGCTGTGCTTCTTTTTCATCAGGTGATCCACCATCTGGAGCTACGGGCAGCACGTATGTTTCAGACACAGCTGAGACTCCTGATGGATCTGCCAAGGAATGGGATGCTTGTCTTGCAAGGAATCTAGACTGCGAGAGTATGAGACAGACCGACGTCGAAGGGACTGACTCGGTACTCCCAGGGTGTGATGACAATGGTCCTGTTTTGCATTTCTGTGAGAAAGACCAGGCCTGTCCAATGAAAAACATCTCTGAAAGTCCTACCAGCCAGGCGCGTCGTGTACCACCTCTAATACTCAGACGGGTTGCTGTCAATGGTTTTGGTTTCAGAGGTGGTGATGATGATGGGGAGAACAGTTGTCATTCACTGGATGAAGAGAAAGAGGAAGACAGTAGTAATGAGGATTCTGACAGTGAAGTGAACTCGCCTGAGAGTTTCTCCTGCCAGCGAGTGCAAGCCTACATATTTTTCCCTCAATCATCATGCGCTCGCACATACAAGACCTGGCCCTTCCCTAGAACGGGCCCTCCTAACGACCCCAGGTCACCGCTGCGCACTGGACCCCGCTGGATTGTAACCACTTCATTTCCTGCTATAGTTCAAACTCCTCTCAGTGGAGCACCTGAATGCTTATCAGATAAAGACATTCAAAACGAAATGTCCAAACCCACAAAGCAAAGCAAAAGTAGTCATGAAACAAGAGAGGTACTGGAGGGGCAACCACTTTGTTCATTTGTGCCAGGTGAGAACACATTAGCAGTGTTGGAAAGGACTCAGAAAGGTCGAGCACAAAGTCTTAATCCAAGTCATACAATGACACAGGATAGTTTTATTTCGAGACTTGCAGACCACAACAGTTACAGTTTAGAAAGTAGAGACATACTGGAGCAGCATCCTTCTGCTTTTGGTGAAAAACCGCCCACTTGCACACCTGAAAGGACTCCAAGGGGACTAGTGCACAGTCCAAAAGTCATATTGACTCATGTTTCCAAACCTGCAGAGCCTGAGTCAAACCAAAGTCTGAAGAAAGCTTTGGAGGATGTTCTTGAGTCCTCTGTACCTGCAGTGACTGAACAGGTTAACATCTGGAAATTTAATGGTCTTGGCTATGCAACATCATTAGAGGAGTGCAGTCTTTTAAAAAATCATTGCCTGCTCAAGAAGTCCGATCAGAAAGCGCTCTCAAGTGGGTCCGAAATTCAGGCTGAGTTCATAAGGGATGAAGATCAAAAATTGTCCAAAGATGTATCGGATCTTGAGATCAGTACCCATCCTGTTAGCCAAACCTCAAGAGCTCAGTCAGTTGAGGATCAAGAGTGGAACGAAAATAGTGACGGACAAACTCTCTATAACCCTGGGTTGCTTTCGGAAATATGTCTTAAAGTAGAAATGCTAAAAGCACAGCATCCTCCTTTAGTGACGACAACATCCGCAATGGACCAGGATGCTGATGCCACACTGCATACAGCCGGCAGCAATCCTGACTTTTCAGGAGAAGAGAAGCAAAAGCAAGAATTCGACAGCTGTACAGTTACAGACTCCTCTTCTGAAGATGAAAACGAACATGTCACTAGTCTGTCATCAGATGACTCTGTGGAGCATGATGCTGCTGTGAGCTCACAGTCTAATAGCGATGGGACAAGTCCGATGAATGATGAAGAACAAGGCCCCACCCCTCCACAATTTCCAGCGGTTGCCGACAGCTTCCTGGATGTTTCTCGAGCATATGAAGAAGACGTCCTTGTACTGGACGTCATACAAGATGATCCAGAGTTATTTGGGGCTGTTGTCACTGAAACTGTGAGTAAACAGGACACATCAGCAGAGGAGAATGGAAAGTCACCGCCGAAGACAGAGAAACTACAAACAGGGAACCATTGCAAGATTGTCTGGGACCTAAATGTAGATGGGTAAGTCATTTAATATTTAATAATTGTACATAATTATAGATCTTTTTAAATGCCGGAAGAAGGCCATATGACTGAAAGATTGCTGTTTGCATGAATGTCTTTTTTTAATGATACATGTAGCTTTAGCATTTGTTCGGTTTCTTCAGTTTGCCTTCATGTCATTTTTTTTTTTTAAAGCTCCAGTGAATCTTGCCCAACTGCTGCAGACGTCAAGACTGATAGTGTGAAAGATGGCGGTTCTCTGACAGGTCTGACTGAAATATTTTGAACCATGTTAATTTGATTTTTGTTACTGTCCGAATGCTGATTTATAAGTTTAATTAGTGTGTGCAAAGGTCCCATTGTCTTTATGGATAAAATTTAGTTTTCCTTCAAATATTCAGATTTATTTTTACAAAAAAAGTGACACAACTTCTGTTTCTCACCTACAGTTAAGGAGACAGACAATTACAGAGCTCAGCCTGACCAGGGAATGAGTATTTCAAATTCAGAGGTCAGTTTGTATGTCTCTAAAACATTTTGTATTTGTAATAATATTGCTGACAACTTAACTGCATTCTGATAATTTAATGTGCTTTTTATTTGGCCATTATGTTCCCATAGTAAATGTGGTTTCTCCTCAGCCAAAAGGGCCTGTAAGATTTTATGGGAAATCTGTTTGTTGCTGCTATTGGCACAGAAATTAAACTGTTTTTTTTTTTTTACAATTATATGATTTTTTTTGTTCTGAACACATTGTGATGAGCTGAGGGTTGATATTTGATATCTTCTTGCAGAATGCCACAGACTGCAATAACAACCAAGAGATGAGACAAACAAATGGTATTACTGTAACAAACACAAGAGAATCAAGACTTGTGATGGACACATGCAGTAACGGTAGGTCCAAAACAAACATCAACTGGTTCTGTGGCACTTTAAATATAGAAAATCTGAGATTAATCTACCTGAAATGTTTATAATTTCGCTTAAGAATTGAGTGTATGTATGTGTTCAAATAATTAATCTAAGCAAAACTGTCACATTCTGTTTTATGTCCCAAGGGTATGAAGTGACTCCAAAAGAGACTTCCACTTTGAGAACTTTAAACAGTAATGTGAGTATACTCCCATCTGCAACATGGATAGATGAGAGAGCTATTCTATTCATTCTACCATGACTTTACTGCTTTTGAATGGATTATCTACATAATAGCCCATTTCCAACCAAACTTCTCTCTGTGTCTTCAGTATTGTTGGTTCTACTTTAGTGAATATAACTCCTGCATGCGAAGTGTCTGTTGGTTCCCGCACATACCAAGAGATGGAGATGAAAAGGTGTGTGTTATAATGTCATTCTGGTTCAGTGTTTTTTTTTTTTTTTGTACGAGTGCAAGTTGCGCCTGAGTCATGTGTTTGTAGGCTATGATTGTCTTGAGGCTTGTTTTTTATGTTTCAGTTCTGCATGGATACAGTGAAGAAGTTCTGTCATACTGGGAAACATGCTCTTATTCTACGAGCAGGTAACGGGACTTTATTAAAGCAATTATGCTGATGAATAATCCCAGGTTGACTGAATGGCTTTTCTGTCTGTCTTCCTATGTGAAGTGGAGGTGTTTATGGGATATTACAGCAGTTGTTCTCCCAGCGTGAGTTTCAGCGAGGAGATTGTCAATTCTCTGCTGTCGTCTCTCCTTAATTTTTGTTTGCTGAGAGAATTTGAGGCAGTCATTAACTTGCTTCTCAAACACAAGAGGCTGGTGAGTGTGGTTGCTTGAAATCATTTGCTTTTTTGGAATTTAATTTGAGATATATAATACTTTTTGTTTTGTTTTTCTTATGTCAGCCTCCACCTGAGATTATGTTAGCCGTTTTTAAACTTGTGATGGAAAGAGGGCTGATTAACGCTGTACCTGAGCTCATTCACCTCACTTCAAAGGTAATGCTCACATTCAAAGCATCAGATCACAGTATTATATATATGGAGTTAAGAGATGGTGCCCTATTGCATCTTATTTCAGATTAGCTTTAACGTCCATTTAATGTGTGCTTGTATGTTTAGATTGTCGAGGCAGGATGTGTATTCAGTGTGGATCAGTGTGAGGTCATGCAGAATCATCTCCAAATGATGCAGGTTCCTAGACAGCAGATGGACATTTTCCTTGCTGTTAAATGCAGGTATGCACCCTCCCACAGCAGAGCATTTGCATTATTGCACTTTGTTGTTTTATCTTATTACATTACAGTGAAATCATATGATGTCACACAAACATGTTGTTATATTTGTAGAGCTCTGGTAACTAATCCCCATACCTCCGAGCTGTCAGATCTGGCCCAGGCTGTTGTTAGAGTTGAGGTAAGATTACTACTTCATTTTCCATAATACTTCTGTAGACGTGTATATACACTTTTTGCTCCATTTTCATTTCTATATACTGCCATTAACATAAAAATGCCATTATTTTCAGTATAATTTGTTTGTGTGTGTGGCCAGATGCTGAAGCATCAGGAAGACTGGGCTGGACTGGCTCTAGTATTCTGCAATGTTTGTGTTGGGTCACACAGTCAAATGGAACTTCTCAGGTTTTGCTGCTGCGTTACCATGGCACTGCTGAAGGAGCCCAAAGGCAAACTCACCCTACCGTATGAGCTGTTTGCTGAATCAGGTATACATTGTGAAGTAATTAATATGTACAGTAGCACTCAAAAGTTTGGAGTTAGAAAGATTTTTAAAAAACCTTTTTATTTTTTTTTATGCTCTTAGTGGAACACATTAGGGTTGTAACTATGAGATTTTCACGGTATGATAATCGTCTCAGAAAATTTCACGGTTATCACGGTATATATTAAACAATAATTCTTATCAGTAACAATGACTCTTACAAGAACAAGTTATTTGAGTAAGCAAATCCTTTATTACAACAATCTTGAAACCATTTGAATGAAAGTATTGAAGTCTCCCTTCTGAAAAAATTAAAAAAACAATAAATAATAAAATAAAGATTAAAAAAAATAAAGCTGTACACCTTATGTATATCTATATCACACTTTAACATTTTAATTAATGTTTTTAAATGAAAATTTACAACTTAAAAAGTTAAAACATGGACATGATATTCCTTGAAAACAATGTTTAAATAAATTATTTTATTATAAAGAATATTATTATTGTTGTTATTATAACTTTGAAGTACATTGTACAATGCTAATATATTTCT